TATCACTACGGAAGTAGGATTGCCCAACCTTCCTTCCGAGGAGTGGCTGGTGGGTTTGAACTGCCAGCGGTCTGGTTAGCAGGCAAATGTCTTAGCCACTATGCTACCAGAGCTCCCTGAGGGAACAGTCAAGTGAGGGAACAGTCAAGAGCTTGAGGGAACAGTCAAGGCAGTTAAAGATTAAATGATGTAATAGAAGCACTAAGCACCACAGCATTTTAGAGAAAGAGGATTTACATCGAGAGTCTTGGCTAAGGGTTCTTTGACTTTATCATTTTCTAGCTCTGTTTTACACATTCAACAAAAGTTAGAAAAGCTATCTCTTTTTACAAGTAGAATCAATGAATTAGTAAGATCTTAATATCACAGTTCTTGTTAATACACGGGGAAAAATATTCTTCTGTCTTTCATTCTGAAACTAGATTGATACTTATCTTGGAAATCTCCCCAAACATTGGTTGCAGTTTTAAAGTCATTACGAAGTCCTATTTTCAAAGACTATCCTTAAACCTGAAGAAAGGATCCAGCCTCTCAATGTTTTTTCCATGTGTGTCAATATAGAACTGTGCTCCATAGGATTTTCAGTGACCAATACTTCAAAAGTAGATTGCCAGACCTTTCTTCTGAGGCACTTGTGGGTCGACGTATTATGAGGTGTTTGTTTACACAAAACATTGTTGTTAGATGGGGCCAACCATAATATACTTGTTTTACTATTCACTGTGAACTCTTTCTATTAATTGTCTCAGCTTCCTGGGATAGTTCTGTCTTCTGGAAGAAAGATCTCTTGTGAAACCAAAGCAGTGGTTAGTAAGTAAATAAATGGCTAATTAGTCAGAGGAAATGTAACTGAAATGAATATTGCTCAAATATTTGCAGAGTGCGATGAAAAACTTGGATGCTGTTTGGTTACAGCATGTGCTAAGGACATTGTTATTTTGTCACCTCTGACTTTTGACCAATAGCTCCATTATACAGCTCTTCTCTTTTCCCATTTCTTTCTTTTTTCCTTGCTTCTCCCCAGTGGGAATTAGTTGGGGTAAAGTCACACTCAGTTGGAGAAGTCACCTGGCCAAGTTGGGGGAAGTTTAGATGTGCAGCCTTCCAAACTGGTTTTGACAGGCTTGCGTAGCTGGTACCATGATCTAAAGCATAACCACAGGGAAGGCTCTTTGACTTTGCCCGCCCTTTCTTGCTTTCAGGATGTATGTTGGGAGGTGGGCAGCACTGGACCTCCAGCTACCTACACTCTCCTCAGTATAGAATTCCCTTCCATCAAAATCCTTTCCTTGGAGGCTTCATATGGCATTCAGGTGGCTATTAAAGTAAACATTAAGTGTCAGGACTGAATCTCTTAACTGGTGGACTATCTAGGAAGATAAGTTTGAGTAGGGAAATCTGCTTGTACGTCCTGCCTTGTTCTCGCTGAGTAGTCTGTAGATCAGTAGCAGCATCTGTGAGCTTGTTAAAAATGCAACTTCTTGGGCTCCCCACTCAGACCTTTGCAGTCTGACTTGGGGAGTAGAGCCAAGGAATCTGTATGTTAATAAGCTTTTCAGATGATTCTTGTGTACACTGCATTTTACTCTTTCCATCTTCAACCCTCCTGTCTTTTACATCGTACCTGGTCTGCTGTGGGAGTTGACTCTGGATTCCTTAGACTAAGCTCCACGAGGACAGCATCACATTGTCCACTCTGTCCATCACAGAACCTGACACACAGGATGGGCTCAGTAAACATTCATTGACCAAATGAGTGATTAGTAGCCAGATGAAGACACTCCACCATCTGTTTATAAAGTTGAAGAAATTACTGCTGTGCTAGCCCATCTCTTTTGGCCCTGAGGTGGGGTTATGTGGTGACCATGGTCTTAGACATTACTGTCTCTTTATAAGATGTCAGTCACTGTGTGGCTACAAAGATTCCCCCACCCTCAGGTGAAGAAATATCTTTCCATGGGTCTCTTACTCATAACCCACATGAAAAAGCTTTGAAATAAAGTCCTTGAGCTGAAAACGGATCCCAGACCTACCATAAAGTGATGATCATGTGTGAAAACACCTGTGAGTCCTATCCTAACATAAGCAGCAATTTCTTGGGTAATGTTCAAGGAATACCAGTGATCCTTGCTGGTTTTTCAAATGTTCTTGACTCAAGTCAGTTTCCAGCTCCTGAAGCAGAACTACAGTGTTGGTGAAGAATATTGAATGTACCACGGACTTCCAGAAGAACGAATGAATCTCTCTTGGAAGAAGTGTAGCTGGAATGCTCCTTAGACACAAGGATGGCAAGACTTCATCTCTCATACTTTGGTCGTGTTATCAGAAGGGATCCGTCCTTGGAGAGGGGTATCATGCTTGGTAAAGTGGAGGTCAGCAGAGAAGGGGAAGACCCTCAATGAGATGGATTGATACAGTGGCCGAAACAGTGGGCTCCGGCATGGCAACGATTGTAGGGGTGGTACAGGACTGGTCAGTATTTCATTCGGTTGTACATAGGCTCACTGTGAGCCAGAACTGACTGGACAACACCTAACAACAACAGCGCAGCCATCATGCACATTTCATGACCGTAGCATGTATCAAATGGATCTCAGCTAGGTTTAGGCTACTGCTTTTACTGTGCTTTGTATGTGAGCCAGTTTGAATCTCCATATGACACTTTGCTTCCTCTAGAAGGAAACGTTGATGCCTTTTGCAGTTGCTTTAGCTTGCTATATCTCATTTAAATTCTCCAGAGTCTGATAAGAGCCACTACTATAAATGTTTGTATCTACTAATAGTACTTCCAGGAAGATCCTTGCCCTTAAACTTTCAAGAATCACTTCTTAATGTTTGAGCAAAGTTCAGCTTCTGAAAATCAAGTAATATTTGAAAAATCGCTGTGGTTTCTGGCCCTTCTGAAATAGCGTTTTAAATTATGTTAACCAAGTCCATTTAACAGAAGAATGTCAGGACTCACTTGACTTTTTAGCCTGAGGGGAGGGCAGAGCATTTCAAACTGAAATTCCTCAGTTCAGATAATTGCAGAGTTGATGAACTGCACTTCGTAGGATTTCAAAAACATCCTCAACTAGGGAGCAGTCTCCAAAGCAGCCTTGAGCTTCTCCCTGCAGTGCCTTACACAGACCACCTTCATTTTAGTGCAAGTGCGACTTTTATCCCTGTGCAAAGCCGTGGACTGTGAACAGCGTGTATAATGGGGATGATGGTATCGGTGGTTCCTGGCTTGATTTGTGTGGGACTGCAGTGGTGGGTCCCCTTGCCTCTGTCTCTACCTTCTCCCCTTCATGTCTATACTGTACTGATTCCAAGGCTAGCACACTTCTGCTTTGTCCACCTAGTCCTCATCACTGGGCAGAGGGTACCTTGGAGACCATCTGGTGTATAGCCCCCTAACTTGTTTGGGAATCTTCTCCAATGTCCATGACATGAATGGACTCAGGTTACTTTGTATGACTACATGGTGCTATAGAAGACAGCTGCTGAAAGAAGAGGTTCTTAGACTGACCAGAACGGCAACCACAATCTGTTGTGGTCCCTTCCTGTAAATCAAGGAGCCCTGCTATGGCCACTCTATCTTATTGTTAAAGGACTGTGCCCCCTTCCCATCAGGCAGGACCAGCTGGGAACCAGGCAGCTGTCACTACATCTGTGTCGTCGTCTCACTCCTGGGTTGGAGAGCCATTTCAAGGACCCATAGCAAGCAGGGGGATGTGACAATGAATAAAAGTAGCCCAGAAAACCGGTTAGCCTGGGCATAATCACATACGGACATAGACATTTATACTTCAGGTGATGATGATGTTATTTGCCATCGAGTCGGATCCGACTCATAGCAGCCCCTCCTTGGGTTTCCGAGGCAGTGTCACTACGGAAGTAGATTACCCAACCTTCCTTCCAAGGAGTGGCTACAGCTGCCATCGCTGTGCTTTTACCATGTCTGGCTTGATCACTTTGAAGGCTACCCCAGACTTGTAAAGGAGGTTTTACTTGAGTTTGAACACTGACAGTAAAGTATGAAAACAAAACCTACTGTTGCCAAGTCCATGCCCACTTACAGTGACCCTATAGGACAGAGTAGAAGTGCCCCATAGGATTTCCAAGGCTATATATCTTTATTGAAGCAAACTGCCTCATTGTTCTCTTATGGAGTGGCTGTTGGGTTCTAATTGCCTGCCTTTTGGTTAGCAGCTGAATGCTTTTTAAAGACTATGCCACCAGAGCTCCTTTGGTAAAGTATCTTGTCGTTGTTGTTGTTGTTGTTATGTGCTGTCGAGTAGGACCTGACTCAGAGCGACCCCTCCTTGGGTTTCCGAGGCAGTATCACTACGGAAGTAGATTGCCCCACCCTCCGAGGAGTGGCTGGTGGGTTTGAACCGCCAGCCTTCTGGTTAGCAGCCAAGTGCCTTAGCCACTATGCTACCAGAGCTCCCTCCTGGTATGTTGTTGTTGTTGTTGTTATGTGCCGTCGAGTCGGCCCCGACTCATAGCGACCCCTCCTTGTGGGTTTCCGAGGCAGTATCACTACGGAAGTAGGATTGCCCAACCTTCCTTCCGAGGAGTGGCTGGTGGGTTTGAACCGCCAGCCGTCTGGTTAGCAGGCAAGTGACTTAGCCACTATGCTACCAGAGCTCCCATGGGATAGCATACAGTAATTCAAGTACTTGAGTGGCTTTATAGGTTCATGGCAGAGGCCATGGATAGAGGTGAAGGATGATGTATGTGTGAAATATGTCCATATTCATTGGTGTTGGGTGTGGATTCTTGCTGGACCAAGTGTTCCCTGCTCTCCTTAGAAAGTCTCCCAATATTTGTCACGAACTAGAGAATACTGTAGGATGGGGAACTCCACGCTCAAGGGCCCTCAAGTTTAACTCACACTAGCCAGGACTGTTCAAAGGAGAAGCTAGATTTGAAATGGCCTTTTTGGACCACCTTTTTGATCCACTTTTGGATTGGTACTACCCAATAATGGCTTCTTTTACAGAAAGGAGAGAGGACCTCCAAGGAGGATTCATGCTTTGCTTTTTGGATGATGGAGCAGGAATGGATTCAAGTAAGTGATGAGATAGTTATGCTTTTGGGGGGCGGATAGAACCATTTTAACAAAAATACTTATTGCAATCCTATGGTATAAATATGTTTTTTTTTGGTTGCTTCACTGCTGTAACTAGAGAGAGAAGTCTGTTGCAACATTCAGCCTTAATTCCACTAGTGCATTTGCCAGGTCTTGTCCTAGTGTAGGAGGTAGGATCTGAATGGCTATCTGAAGTCGGTCAGATTACTTGTCTCTTGGCGTTGTATTTACAGCTTGCACAACATTTTGGAGCTGGCACTATGGAGGCCTTCTCCATCCTTATGACTATAATCTGGTAGCAGAATCACAGGACACAGTGATAGGGATATTGACAGGCCAGGCAAGGGTTACCTCCATTTGCCTTGTGGTGGTGAAATTCCTTGGAGAGAGGTTTTCAATAGAGACAGCCTTGTTTGGACTTAAAGCGAGAGTGTAAATCTGAAGAGCCCAGGAAAGAAATGCAAACCTTTTCTCTTGTGTCTGCCACTTCAGGTGATGCTGCCAGTGTGATCCAGTTTGGGAAATCGGCCAAACGAACTCCTGAGTCCACCCAGATTGGGCAGTACGGGAATGGGTTAAAATCGTAGGTATACCAGAAGCCTGTCATAAGACTGAAAACGAAATGAAGCAATGCTTTCCTTCTCTCAGGTGAAAAATACCCCTTCCTTGTCTTCCTCCGTGACTCTGGAAGAGGAGGAAAGGTCAAGGAGGAGTTACTGTTTCGGGCTGGCATTACCACCTGTTATCCAACAGGGTTTCCTATACATATTTCAAAGTATGATGTCTAAAACCAGTTGGGAGGGAGGGGTTACAGGTTTCTCTTGGCACTGACCTCCAGAATTATGCTGCTCCTCATGGTGGAAATCCTTCTTTTCACCAAGTGGTTGAAGATGCTGGTGGTTCTTTGTGGGGTTGGAAGGTCTCTGGGATGATGAGGAGGTGCACAGCAGTGCTACATAGCAGTGCTCCCTAAGTACCTGTCTCGTGTTGGTTCCTCTTTAAGCCAGGCTCTGGGGGTCCACGGACTGAGGGAGCTGTAAGCCCTCCTTTCTTGAGGATGTGGTCTCTCTAGGCAGACACGGCGCAAGGCCCTGCAGCAGGGCCCTACCTAATGTCTTCAGATCCCTTGGGACTTCTCTCTGAGCCCTTGGTTCCCACTTGTTTAGTGTTTGGAATGTGGTGTTCTGGTTTTGAGTGAAGCCCCAAGAGAAAGGTTTCTATTTCTGAAATGCTCACTTCCAGCTGTACATACCTTTGGATGGAATCAGATGCAGTGGAATTGGGGCTGGTGGAAATGGAATTAGGAGTCATGTTTCCAGTCTTGCTGGGGAAGCGTGGTGGTGTGTTTTGAGAGATGGTGGTAGTTTGGTCAGTCAGCAGCATCACTTGTACCACATGTGCAGAGTGCTTGACAAGGCTTTGAGGATGTGGAAAAGAGGGAGTGTGTCCAAAGAAATCAGGACCTGGACCTTGCAGTTTGTCTCTCAGTTCAGGAACCAAATGGACGTTAATAAAAACTCACTCTGCCAGGCACTGTGCTAAAAGCTTGGCGTGGATAACCTTGTTTAATCCTCCCTATAGCATTATGGAAGGAGTCCTGGTGGTGCAGTAGTTACCTGACAACAACAGCAGAAGCCCTTTGGGGGACCTCGGTGGTTCAGAATTCTTGCCTTCCATGTGTGAGACCTAGGTTCAGTTCCTGCCTATGTATCTCACCTGCAGCCACCAGACGTCTGTCAGTAGAGGCTTGCATGTGGGTGCGATGCTGAGTGGGTTTCAGCAGAGCTTCCAGCCGGAGGCAGATTAGGGAGAACTGATGACCTACTCTGGAAAATTAGCCAGTGACAACCCTGTGGATAACAACTGTTAGTCTACAGTTGATTGTTTACTTCTGTTGTGCATGGGATCACCAGGCCTCAGGGCCAGCTTGATAGCCGCTAACAATGATAACAAATTGCCCTCTGAGGGGTAAAAAAAACCCCAAACTCATTGCTGTCTAGTCGATTTGACTCATAGCGACCCCTCCTTGGGTTTCTGAGATGGTATCTCTATGGAAGTGGATTGCCCAACCTGCCTTCTGAGGAGTGGCTGGTGGGTTTGAACTGCCAGCCTTCCAGTTAGCAGTCAAGTGCCTTAGGCACTACGCCACCAGAGCTCTGAGGGGTAAGTGCTATTATTCCTATTTCCAAATGAAGAAACAGGTTTATAGGAGTGAAATTCATGTGAAGAAGTGCACACATATAGAGCCTCATACCTGAACCAGTTCTTCAGACTTCAGAGCCCAAGTTGGCTGGCCATTCCACTTGAGTCAGACAAACTAAGATGCCAATCCCACATCAGCCACTTAATGACATCTTACTCTCCAAACCTTAGCTTCTTCCTTTGTAAGTTTGTGGGTAATAACAGATACTGAACAGGTTAAGGATTAAGCCCCCAGCACAGTTTCTGGCTTCTAATTTGCTTTCTCCTCCTCTCATGTTCCCATAGCTGAGTCCAAGCCTGGTTCTGTGAGCCCGGGGTGGGACCTAGGAATGTGTATTCTTCCCAGCTCCCCTAGGTGATTTTGACACAGATAATCTAAGTCCATACTAACTGAAGTCTCATAGAGTCAGTGTGATGTAAGAGATACTACTTTCCACTTAGATCATAGGCTCCCTGGTTTTCTCCATTCTGTGGCCTCGGGCATGCCATTTCACCTGTTTCCTCATCTAAAAATGGGGTTCTGATCTCTGACATTCTCCATTACAGAGTTAGTTTCAGGAGCACATGAACAGTGATGTGGAAATGGCCTGGAAGGCCAGGAAGGCAAGGGTACAGAAACTGGGGAGGTGGTATATTTTGAAGTTTTTGTAAAGGGCCTGTTGAGAGGTAGAGCCATCTAGTGTTCAGAGTAGGCAGTAAATTCTTTTGAAACTATTTCAGAAAGTGGGGAAGGGCTTCCAAGAGGCAGTGCTTTGTGGTGAGATTAGGGCTGCAAACCAGGGAAGCTAGCAGAAAGGTGGTATTTTTGAGTTCTTGCTATTCTTGCCCTGAGGTCAGCATCAAAGACAGATAGAAACTGAGAGTTTTTGCCAAATTAGGGCAAAAACCTTTGCTAGAAGGCAGGGTCATTTTGCATCATGCTGCTGTGTGTCAGCTTCTGAGAGGAAGGAGGAGGGCTGTGAATGTCAGGGGAAGGACTAGAAGAGGAGAAACAGTGCTTGGCAGCCCCCTCTGGGTATTTCTGGATAGTGTTCTGGGAGTTTTCCTGGGCGTTTGTGAAATTGGGGCATGACATTCATTTGTGTACTTGGCTTACCAGTCAGGTTTGTGTTTGTACATAGAAGAGGATAATATGGCTTCCCACCTCTGCTGTTTCCCTGGGGCATTTGGAGGACTAATGAGATAATAGCCATAAAGCCCCAGAAGCTGCCTAGAGGAAAGGCACCCAGCAGCTTCCTGGTTGAATGGGCAGTCCTCCCAGTAGGACTTCATGCAGCCTCCAGCCACTGTTTGCTGCTGCTGGGAAGAGGCCTGCCCTCGCTTGCTCCTTGGGTGATTGACCCTGGCCAAACAAGAAAGAAGCAGTTGGTTCCGTCACAGTTTTGTCTGGAAGGCAGCCTCAAGGTATAGTTCCCAGAAACCATGTCATTTGGTTGCAAATAATGAGCTTGAGGTGGCAAAAATGGTTCTGAGACTGAAGATGGCTGTAGTTACGGGATGTGAGCCAATTCTGCTGCTGCTGTCGTGTGCCACCAAGTCCGTTCTGACTCACGGCAACCCCATACGACAGACGACTGCCCATAGGGTTTCCAAGGCTGTAATCTTCAGGGATGTGGACTGCCACGTCTTTCTCCTGTGGAGCAGCTGGTGGGTTTGAACCACCATCCTTTTAAGCTTAAGCACTGCACCACCGGAGCTCCTAAGCTAATTACAGCCCTGCTCAAATGTGGTCAAGAATTCTATTTGTATGTATTTGACTGAATCTTGGGTTCCTCCTGTTTTGAGGACATGTGATACAGGCTGGTCCTTAGATGGTGCTGCTCTTTGATGACTGGATGAGAGGGGAGTGTGTCAGCAAAGAAAGGACAGATTTGAGAATTGGATGTGGTTAGCATGGAAGATGGTGTTGAAGGTATCAACTATTGGAGTAAAATCTGATGGCTGCACAGGTGGGGATCCACCTGCCCTTGTGTGGCTAGGATGAACCCACGGTGCACAGGGTTACATGTTAGTATTATGGCAACAGGCTGTGAGTGAGACTAACCTGAGGCTGGTGGTCAATGGTGATCACACCCCAGAAGGTGGGTAAGTGGTGTCGAATGGTGTAGGTAAAAGCTGACGAATTGCAGGCCAGTGGAGTAGTGCCTAAGGCATTTGAGTGCTAACCAGAAGGCTGGCAGTTCAGACCCACGAGCCACTCCTCGGAAGGAAGATTGGGCAATCTACTTACGTAGTGTTACTGCCTTTGAAACATAAGGAGGGGTCGCTATGAGTCGATCTGACTTGACAGCAGTGAGTTTGTTTGTTTGGTTTTTTTGGAGGAGAAGAGATGGGAGTGTCACTTGAGCAGGGAAGGAATATGGCTGTGGAACCTCCTCTAAAGGCCCTGGGACTTCAGGGAGACCTTTAGGAGGGTCCTGCAAAGGCATTTTCTAGTCATGTCCAGCAGGTGGCTTTTGTTCTTTTTCAGATGAGCTTTTGAATTCCTGAGAAAATAAACTATTGTCTGTCTCCCTTTCAGGGGCTCAATGCGCATTGGGAAGGATTTTATCCTCTTCACCAAGAAGGAAGACACCATGACCTGCCTCTTCCTGTCTCGCACCTTTCATGAGGAGGAAGGCATTGATGAAGTAGGTCCCACATTCATGGCTTGAGCCGTCGCTCCAGGTTTCCTGGGGCTGCCCAGGCTGTGTTCATAGGTTGTTTGCAAAGCTGAGCTCTTTGGAATTGTGGGATTGGAGCACATGCCGCCTTTCAGGAAGTAGCTGGTTGAATGAGTTGGTCAACCAATTAGGCAGGTGTGATAACTGTAAGCAGAAGTGAGATGTCAGAGAGCTTCAAAGAATAGCCAGCCAGTTTCTGAGAACCAAACTATCAGGTGGCTGGAACCAAGAGTTGGATTTAGTTTTGCAGCTTGAATTGAGGCTCCAGGGTTGTCACCATGGGGAGCTGTTTTACCAGGGGAAGATTTTAGGCTTCTGTGACTGTGGGTGGAGACCACAGCCGACAATAATAAGAAGAACAGCAGTATCTTTTCTATATGATAGCGATTCTGTGGAACGTGCTGGGAGCACTTTGTCATTTTGAGTAAATGCATTGCACTAACCGCCTCCATCAGAAGCTACAAATCAGACAGCTACAGGGCCCAGGCAGGTAGTAAAGCAGGTGAGTGTGTGAAAAACAACAGTGTACGCTGATTGTTTAATGGCAGCTGACACTTGGCCTCATGTTGGCAGTGGCTGCTGCTCAGACCCAGCCACTGATTGTTATTGTGTTGGAAGCAAGGTCTAACGAATTCAGAATATTCTGATTGTAAAAGCTTTTGGTAATGAATACACTGTGTAAGCTAAATACACACTTAACTGGCTCTCTTTGCTGTCTCTGGTGGTGCAGATGTCTGCCCAGTTCTGATGGGGTCTGTGCCACTCTTGGTGGGGGGAACCAGTGGAACCTGTGGCCTGCCTAGCTTCAGACTCTTACCCCCTCACGCTGGAGAAATGGAAGCCAGAGCTGAAGAGAAGAGGCTGAGAGTGGTAGGAAGAGGGTGTTTAGTGAGTAGAAAGAACATGATCGAGGGCCCTAAGGGTGAAGTGAGGGGTGTGGGAGAGGACTTGGCCCCTGGGTGGCATGGAGGTAGGTGGTGGTGGACCTAGAGAGCAGGAAGGGCCTTGTCAGGCCTGACCTTAGGGCTAGGTTGAGTGTCTGGGACTTTATCGAAGGAGCAGTAGGAGGCAGCCATGGAACGGAATTTAAGGTCTTCTTTTGGAAAGAGCAGTTTGGTAATTATGTGGTGATTAGATTAGAAATATTGGAGGTGGAGAGTTGGAATGGACCGTTGAGAGGCCTTGCTACGTGTAAGTGTAGCCTGGCCTGGGCTCATAGAGGTGGAGAGAAGAACAGTCCATCATCTCTTTAGGACATGAAACCTACAGATTTGGTGAAGGATGAAGGGAAGAAGGGGCCATGGATGACTCATAAGTGACACTGTGGCAGTTGGGGGACTAGTGGGCTGTTTGGATCCGAGGAAGAAAGGGAGAGGGCAGATGTGGAGGGGAAGAGTGTGAAATCTGCTCTGGACGTGTCGAGTTATGTCTGAATTGAGCTCAAGGGGACTTCTGGGCTCTGGGAGTCCTGGTAGCGAATGAGCTCGCCAAGAGTATAAAGGACGATGGGGACCTGGCACCTCAGGCACGTCGACGTTTAAGGGTTGGAAAGGAGAAAGCGGCCAAGGAGATGAGTGGCCAGAAGAGTAGGAGGGAAACCAGGAGAGTGTGACAACATGGAAACTAAGGGAGAAGTGTTCTGCCCAGAGGATGGGCCAGTGGCAGGTGAGCCACCATGCTTTAAAGAGATGCCCTTGTCACCTGGGACTGCTGTGGAAAAAGGGAGGTGTTAAGTGAGGTACAAGCTCACAGAACATAAGTGGAACTCAATTCCCTGGTGAAAAAGCTAGGTTGAAATTTTTTCCTTACTTGGTACTAGAAGGTCACTGGTTTGGATTGTACTCTGGTGCGAACTCAGCCAAGATTTCAAAATAAGATCATTTCTGGCTGGAGAGGAATGTCCACACCAGCCCTGGGGTTGCATACTATCAGCACAGAGCTGCTCTCAAACCAGCAGGGTCTCAGAAGCCGTCACGGTGGCTCACTCAAAAACTTGTTACAATACAGGGTCCTAGGGTGGGCTGTCTGGTTTGAACCCCTGCGGTGCCTCCAGTCTGCAAAGGGGATCCCTCAGTCTGCCATCTGGGGGCTCAGGACTGCAGCTTCCAGGGAAGGGGGAGAAGCTTGCTGGAGACAGGGGAAGTAGCATCTGAGGTAGGGTCCTTGAAGAAAGTAGGATTTTAAAAACTACTCAGTCGAGAGTCCTTTCATACGTAGGGGAGTGTGTATGAAAATGTATGTACCGTTGAGAGAATAACTATAAAGCGAACAGTCACGGAGCCACCATCCAGGTTAAAAGAAATCTTACATCACAAGCTGACATTAGAAGTCCCCTGCGTCAATAATTGTATTTCTCATCCCCCCCTGAGGAAACCACCACCTGACTGTTTATCTTTACGATTCTACCGCCTGTGTATGTATCCTTATATGATAGTTTAGTTTTGCCTACTTACGAATTTTAAATAAATGGATTCATACATACCTTTTTTTTTTTTCATCTTGCTCCTTGCATGCAGCATTGTGGTTGTGAGAGTCATCCATGTTGATGCTAGTAGGTGTTAGTTCATTCATTTTTATCACTCCATAGTATTCTGTTGTGTAAATATGCTGTTGTCTAGTTTATTCCCTCTGTGGTCGCTATTTGGGTTAGTTCCACTTTGGGCCATCACAGCTGAGTTGCAGTGTACATACACCCTTACAGTTTTGCTGCTGCACATGTCCGAACATTTCTCTACAGGGTGGAGTGGGATTACTGAGCTGAGGAGAGGGATTGCTGAGTTCAGGTATGTTTTCCTTTAGTGTTAAGAGTAGGACTTTGACCAGTTTAGCAAGATGGCCGGAGACATTGCGGAGAGGGAACTGGCCATGCAGAGATTGCAGGCTGTAGACCATCTTATCTCCAGAGGAACTGGCTGCGTCTCGGGCAGGAGCAGAAGTCGAGGCTTGCCAGGAGGGCGAGGGGCAGGAGGAGAGCTTCCGGCACTGCCAGACTGAGCACTTGGGCCTCACTTTGGGGCAGCGTGGAGCCCCCGGGAGGAGGAACAAGGTAGATGCTCGTTTTGGGAGAATGCCATTCTGGAGCGTTCCTCCAGGTGTCTACCTGTGATTACTCCACAGGTGATTGTCCCATTGCCCACCTGGAATGCCCAAACCCGGGAGCCTATCACAGACAATGTAGAGAAGTTTGCTATCGAGACAGAACTCATCTACAAGTACTCCCCCTTCCGTAACGAGGAGGACGTAATGACCCAGTTTATGAAGATCCCTGGGGACAGTGGTAAGTCAGCTTTTGAGCCTGCAGCCCTTAGAGCCCAGGAGCTCCCGGGTCATGGTCGTGTGGGGCTGGGCCGTGGGTGGAATGAAAGGAGGGTTCCTGTTCCCTAGGAACGCTGGTGATCATCTTCAATCTCAAACTCATGGATAATGGAGAGCCAGAGCTGGACATAATGTCCAATCCAACAGACATCCAGATGGCAGAGACCTCTCCTGAGGGCACGTGAGTGCAGCTGGGAAGGGAAGGTGGCCTGGAACTGGAGTTGGTGGTCTTAGGAAAAGCTCAGGAGGGGAATTCAGGGATACAGGGGAGAGCTCATTGTCCGGATTTCTCCCGGGCCAGCACTAGAGGTGATGGAGTTTAGAGGCAGGAGGGACGAGTTAGAAGGACAGCAGACCTCAGCCAAACCAAAAGAAGAGTTAGGATCCCCTGGTCCAACGCCTTGCTTTGATGGAAGAAGGAACTAAGGCCTAGGAAGGAGGAAAGAATTGCCCAGGGCTCCACAGCAGGGTAGTGGTAGGGCCAGGCCAGGAACCCCGGCCGTAGCGGTGCGGTAACTACCCATGTCTGTGAAGTACCTGTACTGGGCACCATGATGGCCAGCAGAGGTGACTTGGAGGTGGTGCCCATGCTGAGGAAGAGAAGCCGAGATGTGGGATGGACAGATGGAGCGCTTGCAGAGAGGCTATCTGGGCTTGTTGAGAGCTGGGTTACAGCACTCTGTTCCTGCCACTTCCAGGAAGCCAGAGCGGCGCTCGTTCCGCGCCTATGCTGCTGTGCTGTATATTGATCCCCGGATGAGAATCTTCATTCACGGGCACAAAGTGCAGACTAAGAGGCTCTCCTGCTGCCTGTACAAGCCCCGGTAAGTCTGCTGGCTCTGTGGGCCCAGGACGGCATTGAGGATGGAGCCTGTGACAGGTTGGGGTAATGCTAGTGCTTGGGGCTGTAAGCTTACTGTGATTTCCTACAGAATCACTTCTGGGTCCAGGGGAAGGGGGAAGGTGGCTCTGGCATCAGCTGGCTGAGGCGTGGGCTGGGTGCCTTCTGTGGCGTGGAGCGTGCCTGCCTGGCACAGTGAGCTATCTGAGCCTCTTGGCTTCAGAGCCAAGAGGCCTTTGGTCAGGTCAATACGCAAGAAAGTGCAGGCCCTGGCTTAATACTCAAGATTTGTTTCTGCTGTGGGATTAATGACTGGTGATACCCACTCAATGAGACCACTTACCAAAGCCCGAGAGCGGGAGGAAAGTGACACATGGAACTGGAAATGGAATCTTTTTGTTAAAACAAAAACTGAGGGGCCGGGACAGCACAGCTCAGGAGGAAGCAGGCAGGTGGGGTGCTCCCTGAGGGTCCTGCGTTGTCGGCCCTGTCAGCTGCTGCCCGGGTCCTCTAGGGTTGCTTTTCCCACCCATCAGGATGTACAAGTACACGTCAAGCCGCTTCAAGACCCGCGCCGAGCAGGAGGTGAAGAAAGCGGAGCACGTGGCGCGGATTGGTAATGTGGCCTCTGGTGCAGGGGAAGGGCTGGCTGGGGTCTCCTGGGGGACCCAGAGCTAAAGCAAGGGTCCAGGAAAAGGCTCCGTCCAGCTCCCAGGGACAAGACTGTTCTCCTGAATGGTCCATTCCTCCTGTGTCCCTGGGCCCCAACTCCATGCCAGTCACCTCAGCGCTTTCTCCTCAGATTACTTTTCCCTCCTTAAACCATTTATAGAGATTTTCTTAAAACTAAAGCAACTCCGAAGGTAAATTTGACTGCCAACCAAAAAGTTGGTGGTTCAAACCCACCAGCTGCTCTTTGGAAGGAAGATGGGGCAGTCTACTTCCATAAACATTTACTGCCTCAGAAACCCAAAGGGGGATGCTGTGAGTCAGAATTGACTTGATGGCAGTGAGTTTGGGTTGTTTTTGGTTTTGGGAGCAACTCCTTGGCCTCCCCAGAGTGAAGAGTCCCATGTTCTTCACTGGTCCATATCCTTGTGAAGTTGGTTTTCTCGACTGACTTGAGGGCAGAATCTCACGCCTCTGGTTCTGACCTGGGCTTCTTCAGGCTGCTTGCCGGAGAGTGATTGGCTGAGGACTTCTTTGGCCTCCAGGTCTTGGTGAGGGCTTGCCTTGGGTGTTTTGTGACTCGTTATGGTTTCTCAAGTATAGATGGTGCCGGCTTTCCTTGAGACCCCCTTGAGAGAGATTTTTGGAAGCCAGGTTTTCTTTGCATGGACTTTGCACTCCAGACTTGGAGGTTCCTCTCACCATTGATTACCATTACTCTCCCAGCTTCCCCGGAACAAGGCTGTCCTTGCCTCTGAAGGTGGGCTAGTCAGCCAGAGGCTTCCCCAGGCCTGCCCCGAGGAGTACCAGGCAGTTTGGCACCTTTGATTGCTTATCATGGTTTCTTCTGGCTTTCAGCTGAGGAGAAGGCGAGGGAGGCCGAGAGCAAAGCTCGGACTTTAGAACTCCGCCTGGGTGGAGACCTCACACGGGACTCCAGGGTAAGACCCCAGACCCATGTGGCTGTACTTGAGTCCGCCAGCATTCCCCAGACCAGTCATGCCCTGTTGTAAAGCTGAGAAATGGGATAAGATGCTTACATAATTACTTGGGTTCTTTGAGCACACTGTTTGCCAGAATCTTGGCTAATTGTTTCATCACCTCAACAGCCATGTGAGGTAGGTAGCATTATGAGCCCAGTCTATAGCTAGAGAAATGGAGGCATCGAGGGTTCATGCCCCAGGTCACCCACAGTAGTGAGGTCAGAGCTGGATTCAGCCCCTACCTGTCCGGCACACTCGTCCTAGTCTTGTTTCCTTTGTCACATCAGTGGGCCTAGTCAAGTGAAGCACAGCTGTGAGTCAGTCCCAGAGGTGGCCATTTTCTGTAGAAAGAATTCCACTTCCAGCTGTTGATTTTGCACTCAAGTGAGTTAAAGCGAGACGTTTTAGATGGGAATGTTGGTATGTTACCTGCCTCGGTTGGAAGTTGCTCCACCCTCACTCGGCGTCGATGCCCTTTTGCAGGTGATGTTGCGTCAGGTCCAGAACACGGCCATCACTTTGCGCAGAGAGGCCGACGTCAAGAAGCGGATCAAGGAAGCCAAGCAGCGGTGAGTGCCGGGCTGGGTAGAGTTGTGCACTTGTGTACTCACTCCTAACAGTGACAACTTAAAGAGGGTGAGAATCCCACCCCCAGGTTGTCGTTCTGTCACAGACTGCTAGGAAAAAGCCGTTGGTGTTGGATCTCAGATGCCTGTCAGATGCTTCCTGCAGGAGAGGTGGCACACTTCTTAGTTCTCTCCTGGGCTGGGAAAGGGCAGGGCAGCCGCCACCTGCAATTGAACATCCTACAGTTGAACATCCTTTAAAACCTTCTCACCAGTGACTGTCTCATTTTTTCTTTGCCTTTGTTTTTTTCTAAGAGGGATGTATAAAAGTGCTCATTGTATAAAATTTGGAAAACGGCATGTTTAAGAAATTAAAATTTAAATTCCCCTGTGATTCTACCACCTAGTGTTGTCTACTGTTAATGTTTTACATATTTCCTATGTATAATTATACTGATAACTCCTATGCCTCATCCCTCCTGCCCCGTTACACATTTGCACTAATGCTATAGATTGAATTTTGGAGCCTCTTCCCCCTGGACTGGCCATGTTTCTGTGCCGTTAAATTATCCCGCCCGGAGCGCTCTGGGGTCTGCGGCTTGAATTGCTTGGCTGCTGCTAGTTGCCCCCATGCCTCGGTGGAGGGTTACTGTCCCAGCGTCTGAGTCAGTCCACTGCTCTCCACCTGCTTCTAGCTTCCAAGATTTTATTGACATTAATCCTGTATGGTGTCTGCTCTCTCACATTTCATTGTTCTTGTGAATTTTTGCCTTTTTTAAAAATTAATTTACTGTTACGTTAGTGGAGTTTGGGGAAGATAGGAAAGGGATCCTGTGTTTATTGCACCACTGTAACTACCTTTGCAAAGACTCATAGTAGCTGCACAGTAACCCATTCATGCTTAAATCATTAAAAGGTAGTGAGCTTTTAATTAGGGATGCTTCAAGCCTGCAGGAGCAGCCCAAAATGTAAGGTAGGTTACCCATTGAATGGAGTTGCAAAACACTTTTAACCGAACACTTCCAAACACCGTGGTTTGTGTGCTAATAGAAAGATTTGCTTGAATGTATCTTTTGTCTTTTCAGAGCCCTTAAAGAACCTAAGGAATTGAATTTCATTTTTGGGGTCAATATTGAACACCGGGACTTAGATGGCATGTTTATCTATAACTGTAGCCGCTTGATCAAGATGTATGAGAAAGTGGGCCCACAACTTGAAGGAGGCATGTGAGTACTGTCCAAGGAGAGCTTGCAGCCCAAGGTGGGTGGTAGGAGGGTTTTGGCCCGATGGGTGATACTGGTGTATCCTGCACCTCCCTGCAGGGCGTGTGGCGGTGTTGTTGGGGTCGTGGATGTGCCCTACCTGGTCCTGGAGCCTACACACAACAAGCAGGACTTCGCTGATGCCAAGGAATACCGCCACCTGCTGAGGGCGATGGGGGAGCACCTGGCACAGTACTGGAAGGACGTTGGCATTGGTAATGGGGCTGCGTGGCTGGGCCTCTGCCCGTACTTGTCACTTCCGGCCTTAAGACACTGTGCCTGAGGCTGAATTTAGGAAGCAGGAGAGGCTGGCTCCGACCTTGATGTGTGGGGATGTGTTTTACAGCCCAGCGGGGAATCATCAAGTTCTGGGATGAGTTTGGCTACCTCTCTGCCAACTGGAACCACCCCCCATCCAGTGAGCTGCGTTACAAGCGTCGGAGAGCTATGGAAATCCCCACCACCATCCAATGCGGTGAGTCGGGATGGTCGGCAGCCGCCTCCTGCCTGCCTCCATCCTCATGCTGCTTCCTGACAGGGACTGACATTCACGGACTCTCGGTCCCACCGGGACTAGGAGCCATTGGGAGGTAGACCTTTGAGGTCAGTGTTTGGGCTCTGCCTGTCCCTCCGGAGTGAGGCAGAAGGTCATCTAGTCAGCCAGGCCTTGCTGGCTTTGGTGCCACGTCTGTGGATCCTGCTGGGGAATGAGGGGCTGGAAATCAGAGGGCCCACTGACAGCTTCCGCTCCCCGTGGGCATCACTGTCCCTGAGAATTGCTGTTCTGTAAGGATGAGCAGAGTCGGAGCCTGAGTGAAGCTCTTTGCATACAAAATCTGGGACATCTTGGCCGTGGGCTTGGCTGTGAGGAGCCTGCATGGCAGATGTTCTCGAGGGACATGGCTGACGCTTGTGGGGGTGATCTCTGTGTCATAGATTTGTGTCTGAAGTGGCGGACCCTCCCCTTCCAGCTGAGTTCTGTGGAAAAAGATTATCCTGACACCTGGGTTTGCTCCATGAACCCTGATCCTGAGCAGGACCAGTGAGTGCTTTCTCTAACGGGGATGGCGGGCACTTTCCTCTCTTTGGGTTCTCCCTGGGTGTATGCTCTTTGAGTAAATGAAGTGGTTCTCACTGTACTCTTAAGGACATTGCCTGCATCCTTACATCTCAGTTTTGCTGCACTTGGTAGGCTAGTAGGTGCCCAAGAAATCCGCATAGCTGGGTAAGTGGGTGTCCTCCAGTGAATAGCAATCCCATGCAGTTGGCAACTCTGCAGTGGTTGCTCTTGCGGGGGACAGCAGGCGCTGGCTGCGGATGGAGGTCCCTGCCCCTACCGGCCTCCTTAGAACCTTCTGTCTGTAGGTGTGAGGCTTCTGAACAGAAGCAGAAGGTGCCCCTGGGGACATTGAGAAAGGACCTGAAGACACAGGAAGAGAAACAGAAGCAGCTAACGGAGAAGATTCGCCAGCAGCAGGAGAAGCTGGAGGCCCTTCAGGTGTGTGAGTGTGGGCGCTGGTCAGAGCCAGCCTGCGTCAGGGTCTTCCCAGTGCAGGAACCTGCCGTGGCTCCCCTGTTCCCTCAGGTTTACCCACCGTTCACCTCCGTGTGCTTGCCAAGCCTCCCGACCCCCATCCAGATCAGGGCACACTGGTTGCTGAGTACAGCTTGCTTGTTCTCTTTACAAAGCAAATGATTTTGCTTACATATTACCAAGTGGTCTGATGCATTTAGAATGTTTTAAGACTCCAGAAAATAAAAATCCCACCTCCTTAGCGGTAACTACCATTCAGGCTTTGCTGCATATCCTTTAACTTTTTCTTGACGCCCATATACATATAAATACGTATATTTTTAAATACAAATATGGAGATCATACTATACGTGTGTGTTTCTTTGTACATATTCATTGTCTTGGGATAATTTTCTAGAAGTGAAATTGAAAGAGTAAAAGCTTTTGCCACATTCTGTGGCTTCTTATACATACCCAAATTACCTTCCAAAAGATGCATTAATTCACACTTTTTATCAGCAGCATATGACAGTATAATTTTTTAACCTTTTTGCCAGTTTGGTAGACAAAGATACACATTTTAAAATTTGAATTTCTTTCATATTTTTAAGATGAGGCATTTTTTATGTGTCCAGTAATGTTTCTTTTAGAATTCCTTGTTCACTTACGTTTCTGTTAAAGTGTTTATTTTTTTCTCTCAATTTGTCAGTTTTTAAAATTTGTTTGTGGCCTCCACTCTTTATTATATTTTCTGGCTTTGGTATCTACAGTCTCCCCCTAACCCCAGACATTTTACATGTGCCTCCCTACCTGCCAAATCCTGCTTGTTCTTTGTGGCCTTACCAAGTTGTCTCCCCCCAGAAGGTTTTCCCACCTCTTTTGGCCCCTTCTTTTCTAGGAATTGAGTTCATTGACACTTTTTCCCATTCTTTCAATTGCTGGATTAATCACGTAAACCCAAAACCCATTGTCATCGAGTTGTTTCCAGCACATAACCTGATACGGTATCCTGTAATTTGCTGATGGCAGGATTGTGAGGCTGGGGCAGGACGAGCAGTGTTTGGTTCTGTTGTACACAGGGTCACTGTCAGTTGGAGCCAGTTCAACAGCACCTAACAACAACAACAACAATGTGTGTGCGTTGTTTGTCTCCCTAGTGAGAACAGGAGGCATATCAGAGTAGGGTTGTGGCCATATTTTTGTTTGCCCACAATCCCAGACACATTGGGCATACCAAAGAGTTTTTACTTGAATGTGCTAAGATAATGCAAACAACTTCATCATCTTGTGTGCCCTGCAGAAAACCACACCCATCCGTTCCCAAGCTGACCTGAAGAAATTACCTTTGGAAGTGACCACCAGACCGGCCCCTGAAGTAAGTCCCTGGGGCCAGAGGACATTCCCACAGGTGTCTCACGCTAGCATCAGTGTCCTCACTGTCCCTGGGCCTTTTTTAGGAACCTGTACGTAGACCTCAGCGTCCTCGGTCACCCCCTTTGCCTGCTGTGATCAAGAATGCCCCGAGCAGACCCCCTCCACCAGCTCTGAGGCCAACCAGCCAGCTGCGGAAGGCACCTGTTGTCAGCAACACCCCCAAGCTGCCTGCCATGGCAGCCCAGGAGGAGGCTAGTACATCCAGGCTGCTGCAGCCCCCCAAGGCCCCCCGAAAGCCTGTTCATGTTCCAATCAAGGCTGTGCCCCCGCCTGCTCCTCCAGTGCAGCCACCACCACTGTCTCTGCCGCCGAACTCCAGGATCCCTCAGGAGATCCCTGTCCCCAGAGCCATTAAGACTCCAGTGGTCAAGAAGCCAGAACCGCCCAGTAAACTCTGCCTGGTGAGAAGCTTTCCCCTGCAGCCCAGTTGCTGCCCAGTGGTGTGGGCATGGAATGCTGTGATTTCAGAGCAGTACTTGGGAGCCATGGAGATCGCCCCTTCTAGAACTTCCCCTGCAGCCCTTAAAGAAAGGGAGCCTCCATGGCTGCAGGGACTGGGTCAGAGGCCCTGGAACAAGTTGATCTCTGGCTAGAACGTGGTTCCCCATCCAGGCAGCCTCCACTGCTCCCTCTGAGTTGGGATCTGCTGCAAACTTGAGTCACCCCACTGGTGATGGCCTTGGTGAGCTACAGCAGTGGCTGGCGTGTTTCAGAGGTCATAGCTGGCTGGCCAGGTGGGCTAAGGGGAATGGGGATCAAGAGGCTTCCCCTGTGACAGTTTAGAGTCTTCCTGAACCTGCGCCTTTAAGCAAAGGTCCCCATGTGCACAGAGGCCAGGAGGTAGCTTGTGTACTGAGCAATGTCGGGGAGGGGAGTACGAGCCCCTCTCTGAACAGGGCCCCTCACGTTCCTACCCTCCCCTTGCTCCAGGCTACCACTGGCCGCAAGCGCAGTTTTGGGGTCTCTGATGAGGAGGAGACGGAGGAAGAAGCTGAGAGGAGGAAGGAGCGGTCCAAGCGGGGCAAGTTGACCGTGAAGGAGGAAAAGAAGGACTTGAATGAGGTCGGTGGTCGGGGTGAGGTTCTTCAGAGTCTCCCTCCCCGTGATCTCCACCCTCCGCCTGGAGGCCGAATCAGCCCGTGTTTGTGTTCTGTGACGTGAGCCTTCGGGAAGCCTAGTTTATCTGTCTGAAGGACTCTCAGTCATAGAGACGACTAGAAACATGGCGTCAAGCGGGAACTGGAGTGGGACTCGCCTCTGGCTCTACGGCAGGGCTCTGTGGGTGGCTAGTTCAGGCTGTGGCAGAAGTCCCGTGGATGGATTGGGGGTCTTGACGAAGTTCCCTTCCTCATGCCATTCTGGCTCCTGCCTGTTGTCTAGTTTGAGAAGGGTCAGTGCCTACGGTGGTGATTCTAGAGAATGGCTCTCAGCGAGCTGTGGGCGTTTAAATTGCAGCATAAGAAGACATGGTCCAGATGGCTGAGCCTGTTGCAGGGAACCGGGGATGCCCCTGACACTCTCTTCTCCTTGCAGCTCTCAGATAGTGGTGGGGAAGAAGACTCAGCCGACCTTAAGAGGGCTCAGAAAGGTGAGCTGAGGGAGATGCCCGGCAGCCTGTGGTGGAAGTGGGAAGTGGAGCCCTCGGCAAACAGCAGCTTTGTCATAAAGCTTCTGGGGTTTTTCGGGGTCTGGATCTTGTGCAGCAGTGGTTCCACGTCTTAACCCTGAGATGAATTTTCAAGATAGTGCCCAGTTCTCAAGATGGTGTTTATTTCTAGCACCAACTCTTTAGCCTTTGCCCGTGGCAGTCACTTAGCCACTGCTTGTTGTCCCACCGTGACAGATGGCGGCGGAGTCCCAGGTGGCTGGGCTTCTTATCTCTAGCGTAGAAGGGGCAGGTGTTGAGGGGTTCTTGCTCCTCCGGACCCTTGGGCTGCCTTTCTCAAGGTAGCCCCAGTTGAGTAGGGTTTTAGTCTAGTTTTCTGACTCACACCCTGTGCCCATCCGCAGATAAAGGGCTGCATGTGGAGGTCCGTGTGAACAGGGAGTGGTACACGGGCCGTGTCACAGCTGTGGAGGTAGGCAAGCATGTGGTGCGATGGAAGGTGAAGTTTGACTACGTGCCCACAGACACGACGCCCAGGGACCGCTGGTAACGCACCCTTCTGGGAGGCAGTGTGACAGAAAGGGGTGGGGGTAGGGGAAGGAGGGGTGGTTCCCAGCAGAGGGTCTCCCGGTCCCCTGCAGGCAACTCCTCCTGGAGCCTGGGGACACACGTGACTCATACGCTCTGTGTCCTCCACAGGGTAGAGAAAGGCAGCGAGGACGTGCGGCTCATGAAGCCCCCTTCACCGGAGTATCAGAGCCCTGACACGCAGCAGGAGGGCGGGGAGGAGGAGGAGGTGGTGGCAGTGATCCCACAGGCGCTAGCCACGGCAGAGCCCTCCACTTCTGACTGCATCCGCATTGAGCCAGACACCACTGCCCCCAGCACCAACCACGAGACCATCGACCTGCTCGTCCAGATCCTCCGGTGGGTGTACCAGCCTGCCCGTGGCCAGCAGTGGCTCTCCATTTGCCTCCGTGACATTCTCAATTCCTGACCCTGCCTCCTTCCTTGCTTAGGAATTGTTTACGGTATTTCCTGCCTCCAAGTTTCCCTGTCTCCAAGAAGGAGCTGAGTTCTATGAATTCAGAAGAGTTAATATCATTCCCTCTGGTGAGTCTGGCCTGACCTTTAAGTTGCACTCTGCGTCCCCCTCCCTTTGTGCCTGCTGGGGTCACTCTTCAATGCATGCCCTCCCTCCGCCAGCGGCTCTTCTCTCCCTCCCTCTGTGGGATTCAGCTCTGTCATCTCCAGCCGTCGGCTGAGATACAGGAAAGGAGAGATGATGTGGGGAAGGACGTGGCGTAGCGGGGTATGACTCTGGTAGGCAGAAAGCCTGCCCTACCCACCCCATTGTGAGATGCTGGCGCTGCGGCCTCAGGTAGGGACCGCAGACCTGTTTGCATTTTACCATCCTTGAAAACCTGCCCTAGACGGTGAAGAGGTTAGGCTGGGAGGGCCTAAGACGTGACTTGAAGGGAGGCGTATAAAAGCCTGGGAGGTGTGGGACCAAGCTCTGGGCCTTGCCTAACACAGGCGGGGTAGACGGGCCGCCTCTCCTGGCAAGCCCTGTGCTGGGCCTTGGTTCCTGGGAGCAAGTAAGTAGGGGCCTCTGGTGGCGTAGTGCCTAAGGCATCTGACTGCTGACCAGAACATT